AGTCTCTATACCTGGGTCAGGCGGCATACACAAGTAGCAGTCACCCTCAGCACTAACAATCAATGCATACATGGCAGCAAGAATTGCATCATAGTCAAGATCAAAGATAGGAACATCACGCCTAAGCAGGTCTGCCCAGGGGGGGAACTCAGTAGCATCAGGAAACTTGGCGCGCCAGGCGTCGCTAAGCCGAGAGAAGCAGCGGTACTCAGTGTGAAACTTGCCGCATGAGTAACGAACAGCGCGGGGGCCTGTGCGAATTATATACGGGCAGCGAACAGGACCCCCAGACGCCCCACGCTGTGCGTACCAGTCACGAATTTGCTGAGTCGTGGGGGTCCCGCGCTGACTCTGCTGCTGCTACTGCTGCTGCTGCCCCTGGCCATCACCGGAGCCCCCCTTCTGACCGGTTCCACTCTAGCTCCCACCACCGCTCCCACCACCGCTGTGAGGACTTGGTTCAGGAAAGATTGAACTATTGAATGATGCACCTGGGTACAAGGCGAGGCTATATATAGGCTCGACACAAAGGCAGTAACCCTGGTGTTACTAGAAGGTTCCGTGGGTCGCGAAGCGTCCCAAACGGGTCCTTCCCGAATTCAGTAGAAGGCAATTCGGTGGCAACCGAAAAGCCTAGAATTCGGTGCACTCAACCTAGTTCGGTGCCTATAACTATAACAATATAGTAAAAGCAACGAAACTATGAAATCTAGCAAAAGCAAGCAAAACAAAATAAAGCTAAGCTAGATAATGCATAATAAAGCAGAATCAAGCTAGTAAATCATAGCAAAGCCGTCATACTCTCACACGTCCCCCCCTCAAAGCTGGGTGGCATGAGATACACCCTGCTTGTCAAGATAATCCTTGAGAGCACGGCGTGCGTTGCCCATATCAGCTTCTGTAACCCAACTGTCCTCCGACGGGTCATATCCCTTCCAACGTATCAGGAACTCGAGCATGTTGTGGCATCTATGTTGATGAGCGAGCACTCGTTCCACCTCGTACTCTGGTTCATCCTGTACGAGAACAGGTGGTGGTGGCGGTAGCTGTCGTCCTGTGAATTGTTGGTTGGGGTCCTTGTAGGGCTTCAGCAGCTGAACATGGAAAGCGTTGTGAAGCTTCCATGTAGTAGGTAAGCGCAAGCGGAATGTAACTGGTGTCACCATCGCCTCAACGCGAAAGGGACCACAGAAGCAAGGCCGGAGCTTGGACGGAATGTGAGATAAGTCCAAGTTGTGTGTGTCGAGAAGCACTTGATCTCCGACTGCTACTGAGTGATCTCTTCACTGTCGATTGACATACTGCTTCTGGGAGTTCTGCATCGTGGTGAGACGTCGCTGATTCTTCTCCCATGGCTTGGACGTGTGCTGGTGTGGTTGGCTGCTGTGGTGTGAGTGGTTCCCGTCCATAGCACAGAGAGAAAGGAGATTTCCCTATGTCCGCATGCGACGCGTTGTTGTAAGCGAACTCAAGTGTTTGTAACTATTGATCCCAGTGGCTGATGTCGTCTTTGCAAGCTGTGCGCAGTAACTGTTCAACCACTTGATTGAGTCGCTCAGTCTGTCCGTCAGTCTGGGGGTGGTATGCTGAAGACATTGTAATCTTTGCCCCCAGCAATCCCATGAGTTCCCTCCAAAACTTACTAGTGAATTTTGGGTCTCTGTCTGAGATGAGTGTAGCGGGGATGCCGTGGATGGTGATGATGCGGTCAAAGAAGAGGCGAGCAGTTGCTTCAGCTGTAGCCGTGGCGTTAGTCAGGATGAAGTGTCCCATTTTAGAGAACTTGTCGATCACCACGAGTATAGCGTCATGCCCTCGTGAGGTCGAAGGAATACCAGTGATGAAGTCTAGGCTAACGACTTTCCATGGCTATCGTAGTAGTTGGCGAAGCCTTGGAACTTCTGCAACTCCTTCACGTTCTCTGGAACTTTCCACTTCTTGACGGCTTCGATCTTCTGCGGGTCCACGTGTACGCCCTCGGCACTCACCATGTGTCCGAGAAACAGCACCTTCTTCAAGTCAAAGTCGGTCTTTGACAGCTTCACGTAGAACTTATTCTCCCGCAGGATCTCGAAGACTTTCCGCAGATGCTCCACGTGCTCCTTCATGGTCTTGGAGTAGATCAGTATGTCGTCCACGTACACCACCAAGCATTCGTCCAGCAGGGGCCGTAAGATATGATTCATCTCTGCCTGGAACGTCGCTGGTGCGTTGCAGAGTCCGAACGACATCACTAAGTACTCGTAGGAGCCGTATCTGGTACGGAACGCCGTCTTGTGGATTGAGTTGTCTGCCATCTTGATCTGCCAGTAACCCGACCGTAGGTCCAGCTTCGAAAACACCGTCGCACCACGCAGTTGGTCTAGAAGATCGTCTATGCACGGTATGGGGTATTTGTTTTTTACTGTCTGTTTGTTCAGTGCCCGGTAGTCGATGCACATTCGTAAACCATCGTCAGGCTTTGGAGTGAAGAGAACCGGTGCGCCGTAGGGAGAGGTGGATGGGCGGATCAGTTTTCTGTCCAGAAGATACTCAATCTGTTTTTTCATGTCTGTCAGTTCGGTCGGACACACTCGGTATGGTGCACGTGAGACAGGTTTCGCACCTGGTTCCTCCACAATCTCGTGCTCGTGGGTGCGTGCTGGAGGTACTACTGAACGTAGGTCGTCTGGCATGATATCTTTGTACTGCTCCAACACCTCCTTTACTGCTGCAGGTAGCTCCGAACTCGGCTTTTCCTCCTCTGCTGCTGCCATAACCAGTGCTAAGTAACCCGTGTTACTCTCATTCACTGTCCGTTCGAACCGCGCTAGTGTCATTTCAGGAACATCCCCTGTATCCGTCCAGCTTCGCAGCTCCACACGTTTCCCGTTGTTGTAGATACACGCCTTCCGGTTGACCCAGTCAATCTCGGGGTTGAACCGCTTCAGAAAGTCACGCCCCAAGATGAAATCTAGTCCCTTGATGTTCGTGATCGGCAACGTCGGCTTCCACCTCAACGCCCCTATCTGCAGCTGCAGTGTTGACTCGCCGTGGATGGGAAGCTTCGTACCGTCCATCATTGTTGCTGTAAATTGGGTCTCCCCCGATGACTCTCTGATTTTCTCCAACGTCATGCGCTCGCACACCGAGTGGGACGCACCACTGTCCACCAGTGCCTGGAGGCGTCGTCCATTGCAGATCACCTCGAGTACTAGTGGCTGCTGCCGTTCCGGGTAGCTGTAGATGGTGTTGCTTACAGGATCATAAGGTAGATCAAATGTATCGTCCCTTGGTCCTGCGCTCGAAGCTGCTGACTCAGTTTCCAACTTAGCAGGGTTAGAAGGATTTATCCGAGGCCGATTCAGCTTCTCTAGGGCCTGGAACCTTCCCCTAAGCCTTTGCAGCGGTGTGGGCTTTGCCTGTGGGGAACAGGGAGCCTTTAAACAGTGCTGCTAGGAGAAAATACGAACTCCTCGGAACGCTCGACCCTTATCAACGCTCCGGAATAGGGTCCCCATATTACCCGGTACCGTATTCTCCTGTTTTCACCCTCTCCGAAGTTGCCACGTTGTCCGTTTTCTGCTTCGGGGGTGCCACACTGTTCTTGTCCCTCAGCTCCGCACGGCTTCTCTTCATTTTCCAACACGCCAAGATACGATGTCCTGTAGCTCCGCAAAATTTGCACGCCTCATTTTTTGCTAGCCGCTGCGTCGCATCGTCCTTGTCATTCTCCATCGGGTCGGCAGGCGTGGGTGGTGCCAATCGCTTCATGCCACTATTTGGCTTGCTGCGTCGTGTCCCGTAGTAGCTACTGTTCAACCCATCGAACTGTTCGATCAGTGCTGCCCGAAACTGCGCCCACGTCTCTTCGCCTTGGACAAATCTATTGCTAATCCACTCTAGAGCTGGGTCTCGTAACAGTGTTGTTGCAAGCCGTATGCGCAATGTGTCTTGGTTGAGGGTCGTGCATCTAACGGCTTCAAAGAAATTTTATATTACAGCTACAAATCGACGGACGTCGCTCCCTTTCGCTCTAGGATCGAACGCGTCTGGTCGCCTCGGCTTTACTGCTTCGAGATTAAATGTAGCTGCTGCCGTTGTTGCAAGTACAATTATCGGTGTCGCCGTCGTCGCTTCTGCTGCTGCTGCGGCTACCGATTGGTTCGCAAGGAGTTTTTCGAGTCGTGGGAGCGCCGCAAATATCTGCTTATGCTCAGCACGTAACTCCGCGATTTTTTCTATAAAGAAATCTCTATTTCCCTCCCTTTTGGCGATTTACAGAAAAATGGGCGACAAAAATAATTAAATTATAGGTGCTGGTCGACGTACTCCGAGTCGAATCGACGAGCTCGAATTCTGTACGTCGCGCAAATCTCCCCTAGGCGAAATTCGCGTCCGATCTCGGCCGTTGAAGAAAAACTCGATCTGACGGTCGAAATTCCAACCTTTTTGGGCGAAACTTTCTGGGCCGTTGAGATTGAAATCGATCGAACGGTTGAAATTCCAACCTTTTCACCAATATTCCTGAGGGGTGTTCAAAACCGAATCGAGGGGGACTTAGAAAAAATCGCGCGGAACTGGTTTTACATACCCGTATCGGTGCTTTCGTCGTCGCCCCCCCCGGTTTTTAAAGGCCGGAACTAAACGGTTGAAGACCTAGTGTGTAAACAGGCTCTTATACCATGTGTGAGGATCTGGCTCAGGAAATATTGACCTATTGAATGATGCACCTGGGTACAAGGCGAGGCTATATAAGCTCGACACAAAGGCAGTAACTCTGGGGTTACTAGATGGTTCCGCGGGTCGCGAAGCGTCTCGAACGGGTTCTTCTCAAATTCAGTAGAAGGCAATTCGGTGGCAACCAAAAAGCCTAGAATTCGGTGCACTCAACCTAGTTCGGTGCCTATAACTATAATAATATAGTAAAAGCAACGAACCTAGGAAATCTAGCAAAAGCAAGCAAAATAAAATAAAGCTAAGCTAGATAATGCATAATAAAGCAGAATCAAGCTAGTAAATCATAGCATAGCCGTCGTACTCTCACAATCGCTCCCTCCTCCCCCACTACCGCCGCTGCCACCTCCACCGCTCCCAGTGCCACCGCCGCCCCCACCACCACCTCCACCCCCACGACCATCCCCACCACCTCCACCTCCCCCGCCGCCTCCACCACCGCCCCCTCCACCGCCACCTCCACCACCCCTGCCACCCCTGCTGCCCCTGGCACCGCGGCGCTTCCCACTAGGAGCGGAAGCAGCCCCAACCTCCTCAGCACCAAGGAAGTCGACAGCAGCAGCAGCAGAGGCGTAGGAGGGGGCAAGAGGGGAGGGGGAGCACCCCTTAAAGGGGGGAGTGCGAGGAGTGCCACGAGCAGCACCTACAGCGAGCATATTCTTTTTGACCGCAATGAGGTGCTTCTCGAAGTCGGCGACAGTGAGAGTGGTAGGGTCTAGGGCGAGAAAGTGGTCCCTGACTGAGCGAAGAGTGTCAGGGAGGCGTGTGACAGGGAAGTAGAGAGTAAAGTACATCGGGGGGGGGGGGGGGGGGGGGGGGGGGGGGGGGGGGGGGGGAATCTCGGCGAGAAACTCGTATGGAAGGGCGACACAAAAGCGAGCGTCACTAGCGCGAAGGTGAGAGATGAGGTCCTCAGCGGTGGTAAACGAGGACAGGTCGGGGAACAGGTAGGGTAGGAGAAGACGACCTAGGGCTGCAGTGGCTGGGGAAGAGTAGCGGGCGACTACAGCACTGTACAGTGCCTTGGCTGTCTTGTGCTGGCTAAACTGCGCGCGCTCAGAGATCGGCAAGTAAATACGAATAACGAGGCGCGCAGCAGCATCACGGGTCTGCCACTGTGAGCGAGCGAGAGCGTCAGCAGTGTCATCAGAAGCAACGGAGGAGCCAGAAGCATGATCATACAGGGAAACGCCTTCTTCGGCATCGGTCATAAGAACAGCTGCATGTCGTCAAGCCATGTGGCAAATTCTATCGAGCGACCGTCAGGCTCAAATGCGAGGACGTTGAGAGTCGCCACGATCGCAGCACAGGTAAGGGCAGCGTGCGGGCGGCAAAGGGCAGCGCGCGGGCTGCAGAGCAGAGAGCAGGCTGGGAGACGATGTGCGCGGAGCTGCAGTGGTGGCGCACGGGGCAGCAATGGCTGCTTGGGCAGCCGCAGAGGCGGCGCACGAGCTGCTGAGGCGGCGCGCAAGTGGCTAGGCCGGCGCGCAGGGCAGCCGCGAGGCGCGTGCAGGCTGCTGGGGCGGTGCGCGGTTGGTTAAGGCGGCGCGCGGGGTAGCAGCGAGCAGCACGGAGGCGGCTGGGGCGGCGCGCGAGCGGCTGGGGTGGCGCACGGGGCAGTAGCGGGCCACGCAAGGGCTGCATGGGCGGCGAGTGGGGCAGCAGCGGGCAGCGCGAGGGCTGCCGGGGTGGCGGGTGGGGCAGCGCGAGGGCTGCTAGGGTGGCGCGGGGGGAGCAGCGGACGGCACACAAGCTGCTAAGGCGGCGCGCGGGGCAGCGGCGGGCAGCACGCAAGCTTCTAAGGCGGCGCGCGCGTAGCTAGGGCAGCGCGCTCGGCAGCAGCGGGCAGCGCGCGGGGCAGCAGGACGGCGCGCGCTGCGCAGCGCGTCACAAGGCAAGCAAAGCAAGGCGCGCGCAGGCGGCGCAGTGCAGGTCAACACGTGGGATAGCGGGGTAACGAGAGATCGGTGGGCCCGGGAAAAAAAAAAAAAAAAAAAAAGACGGTCCTACGGACCTACTGCTCTGAAACCATGTCAGAAACTAGCAGGAATGAATGAACTATGAGGAAGTTTGTCTCACAAAGTGAAAACAACAGAATGAGTTGGATTGATTGGGTTGGGGTACAAATGCCTAACCCTAACTGTTTGTACCCCATATAGCATAACCCACTAGAGGCTATAACATTTGACACACCCCCATAGCCTAAGTGGGGAATGCCAAGCAACAAAACACAACCTAAGGTCACAAGACCAGTCACAAGCAAGAGAGCAAACAAAGCTCAGGGTGGATCACAACGTCACCACACAGTCCGAGCACAAACAAGAGGCCACAAGGCCAGTTCAAGAGAGTACAAGCTAATATATATGGTACAAACAAACAAGAGGCAAGAACTCACTACTGCAGTCTACTAGACCCAGACTCAAGGAGGCCTAACTGCAGACAAAACCGGCGGTGGTCACAAGGCTGAAGGGCCTTGGTGAAGATGTCTGCAGTGTTGGCCTCGGAGGCCACGAAGTAAAACCTGCCTGGCCGCGTCTCTGCAACTCTCGAAGGAGGAAGTACCTGACGTCGATGTGCTTCACTCTGCTCTCCAGTCGAGGCTCACGAGACAGAAGAATCATTGCCTTGTTGTCAGCAAACAAGGTCGGTGCAGAGCTCGGCCGCTCACCAAGGTCAGTGAGCAAGAAGGTCAACCAGCGTAGCTCCTGAGCAGCAAGGGCTCCAACGTAGCTCCTGAGCAGCAAGGGCTCCAGCGTAGATCTCGGCCTCTGCGGTAGAAGTCGCAACAGAGGAGGACCGAGTAGACCTCCACGAAACAGCTCCAGAGCCCAGGCTGAAACAGTAACCCTGCGTAGACCTCTGAGTCTCAACGTCGTCGGCGTACGAGGAGTCGCAGTGACCGGTGAGTACAACTGGCTGTGTCCCTCCAAGCACAAGCCCCATGTCTGATGTCGTGGCGAGGTACTTCGCCACCCTCTTAGCCGCCGTCCAGTGAACAGGACGGTGTCTCCCAGTCGCAACAAAGCGAGAAAGGATGCTAAGAGGTAAGGAGAGGTCCGGGCGAGTGCACGTCATCAGGTACATGAGGCAGCCCACCAGCTCTGCGTAGGGACCACTGGGCTCGAACGGCTCGTCAGGAAAAGGCCAAGCGAGTCTGTGGTCTACAGCAAGAGGGGTGGGTGTAGGAGAAGAGTGCTGAAGCCCGAACCGCTGAAGGACCTGCTGCACCATGTGTGACTGAGTCAGAGTGATGGTGCGAGCGGCTCTTTCCCTGAAGATCTGCAGGCCAAGGTAGCGGCGCAGTTCCCCAAGGTCAGTGCAGGTGTGTCTCTTCTGCAGTTCGGACTTCACCTCCGCCAGTGCAACTGAGTCAAAAACCAAGTCGTCAACGTAGACCAGAACAAAGAAAGGTGTGCGCCCACGACGAACAAACAGCGACGGGTCGGCGGAAGACGGCTCAAACCCGAGGTCGGACAGAGTAGAGCGGAGAGTGTCGTGCCACTCACGGGGTGCCTGGCGGAGACTGTAGAGTGGTCGGCTGAGGCTCCACTGGGTCCCAGGCGGGAAGGTGCCAGTGAAGCCCGGAGGACGACGCAGCCAGATCTCCTCGTGTAGGCTGCCCTGCAGGAAGGCGGTGGAGAAGTCGAGGGAGTGTAGCGCGTATTCCCTCTGTGCCGCTACGTGAAGTAACACCCGAAGAGTGGTCATCTTTGGGGTGGTCGCGAAGGTCTGAAAGAAGTCAATCCCCTCACGCTGACTGAACCCTCTAGCCACGTAGCGTGCCTTGAAGACTGGGGGAGATCCCGGCGGCCACTTCACCTTGAAGAGCTACATGCCGTCAACTATGTTCGCCCCTGGAGGGGGAACCTCGTTAACATAAGTGCCTGTGGATCTGTAGGAAGCCATCTCTGCGTCCATGGCAGCTCTCCACTGAGAGGCCCAAGGCCCTGACACTGCCTCAGCGTAAGTGCGAGGAGTAGGTATGTTAGGAGCAACGAGGTCTCCCTCAGGAGCGAGGAGCATGGCACAGAGATGAGGCGAAGCAGCTGCCAGGAACTCTAGCTCAAACTGTCTGTCCTCTAGGACGTCACAGCCAAGGGCAGACTCACCCCCGACGGACAGAGGACGGACAGGAGGAGCGGCCACAACACGAGTGGCGTAGTCAAGGCGACGCGTAGCAGTAAAGTCAGTGACAGCGGCAGTGAGGACCGCGACGGAGGAAGGAGAGGCACGAGGGTCGGTAACAAGAGAGGCGAGAACACGAGAGAGAGTGGGGCGGTACGTGCGGTAGTAGTCAGTGACCGGAGTGGACAGGGAGGCAGTGAGGGACGACTCAGGAGGACGTGGAAGAACAAACCGAGGAGGACGAGGAGGACTAGAACGAAACAACACGGTACGGAGGTCAGTGACAGGTGACGAGGGACGAGCACGAGGAGGACGAGAGGCCCAAGTGTGGGCGAGAGGAGGGGGGGACGGAGGAGACCGAGAACGAGGGAACACAGCCGGAGCTGAGTCCGGAGGAGGAAACGTAGGACCGAACACAGGACGAGAGGAGGGGAGACCAAGGGCCCGAAGGCCAGAAACAGGGGCCGGAAACTGCTCCGGGTGCTGCGGCTGCTGCGGCGGCTGCTGCTGCTGCTGCTGCTGCTGCTGCAACTCCAACCTCTCACGCTCCACCCGCTGCTGAACCTCCAACCTCTCACGCTCCAAACGCTGCTTCTCCTCACGCTGAAGACGAAGAAGGGCCTGGTACCGAGTTGGGTAGGGGTGAGGAACCGGCTCCGCCCTCGACAGTAGCCGGATGAGCACTGCCAGAGCGAGTACCTCTTGCGGCAGCACGACCAGCACCTGTACGAGGTGTACCCGCACCCCCAATCATGGTGCCTCCAGTGGCACTAGCACCGGCCCCAGACTCTCCAACTCCAGACACACCACCAGCTCTGGCACCTCCACCAGCTCCAGCACCCTCGGAACGGGCAGCTGCGGCAGGTGCACGCTCAGCGCCAACGCTCAGCTCCAACGCTCAGCGGCAAAGGAGGGAGTGGAGTAGCAAGCAACAATGGCCTGATATAAATCAGCGGCAGACTCGTCCTGAGCGAAGTGGACCGCCTCTGTCGGTGGGAGAAGGTCGGTCAGGGCGAGGCAGGCAGCGGCGTCACGAGACTCCCACACGTCGCGAGCGAGGAATTGGCGCTGGTATTCCACCTCCTGCTCAGGAGTAGGCGGTGGGGTAGTGGGCAGCGGGTTAGGCTGCTGAGGGGCGGTCTGAGTACCGGACGCGTGTGCGAACAGGTGCACGCCATCCTGCCGCTGGCTCTTAAGGTGGCGCTGCGCCTGCGTAAGCCACGTACTAAAGTCAATCGGTCTCCCCTCAGGGTCAAAACGAAGTACTCGGGAGGTCGCCATAGGGGGCGAAACTGAGAGAGCGCGGCTGCCAGCCGCGGGAGGGTGAGACAATCAGTGGCGTGTGGGTAGGCGCGAAGGTGTGCAGACGGCCAGGCGGCGTGGCATGCGGACAGGCGGGCGACGAGGCGCACTGGCTGATGGGCGGCGCGGCGCGCTGACTGGCGGGCGGCGCGGCGCGCTAGCTGGCGGGCGGCGCGGCGCACTGGCTAGTGGGCGGCGCGGCGCGCTGGCTGGCGGGCCGTCCGTGGCGCACTGGCGTGGTGCGCTGGCGTGCGCGCAAGCGTGGCGCACTGGCGTGCGTGCTGGCGGGCGCGCTGGCAGGGCGAGTTGGTGTGCGCGCTAGCGGGGCGCGCTGGCTGGGCGCGTTGGCGGGCCTGCTAGCTAGGGC